CACTCAAACATATTCATTCTATGAGGCCAGCATCACCCAGATATAAAAACCACACAAAGATGCAACAAAAAAAGAAAACTACAGGAAATATCTCTGATGGACAGACACAAAAATCCTCAGCAAAATATTAGCAATCAGAATAGAGCAACACATCAAAAAAATTATATACCATGATCAAGTAGGATTCATCCCAGGGATGCAAGGATGGTTTAACATGCACAAGTCAATAAGGGCTGTGGAGTCAACATGTGCGATACACCACATCAATCAAATCAAGGACAAAAACCATAAGATTATCTCAATAGACACAGAAAAAGTATTTGACATAATTCAACATCTCTTCATGAGAAAGCAAATTAGGTATAGAAGAAAAGTATCTCATAACAACAAGAGCTACATATGACAAACCCTCCACCAATATCATCCTAAGAACAGGAAGAAGGCAATGATACCCACTCTAACCACTCCTATTTAATATAGTATTGGAAGTACTAGCCAGAGCAATCAGGCAAGAGAAAAAAATAAAGTGCATCCAGATTGGAAAAGAGGAAGTCAAACTGTCCATGTTCGTGGATGACAGGATCCTATATATAAAAAAACCTATAGACACTACAAAATACTCTTAGAGCTGATAAACAATTTCAGTAAAGTTGCAAAATACAAAAATCAATGTGCAAAATCAGTAGCATTTTTATACTCCAATAATGAGCTAACATAAAGAGAAATCAAGAAAGCTAGCCCATTTACAATAGTCACCAAAAAAAACAAAATACCTAGGAATCAATTTAACCAAGGTAGTGAAAGATCTCTTCAATGAAAACAGCAAATCACTGCTGAAAGAAATTAAAGAGATTGCAAAAAGATAGACATTCCATGTTCTTAGATTGGAAGAATTAACATTGTGAAAATGTCCACCTACCCAAAGTGATCTACAGATTCAATGCAATCTCCATTGAAATACCAATGACATTGTTCACAGAAATAGAAAAAAATCCTAACATTCATATAGAACAAGAAAAGAGTCTGAATAGCCAAAGCAATCCTGAGCAAAAAAAATAAAGCTGGAGGCATAATACTACCTAACTTCAAATTACACTGCAGAGCTATTGTAACCAAAACAGCATTGTACTGGCATAAAAATAGACACTCAGATCAATGGAACAGAATAGAGAACCCAGAAATCAACCCACATACCTACAGTCAACCGATAATTCAGCAAAGGCAAAAAAGAACGTACATTGGGGAAAGACTGCCTCTTCAATACATGGTGCTGGCAAAACTGGACATCCATATGTAGAAAAGTGGAACTGGACCTGTACCTCTCATCATATACCAAAATCAACTCAAAATGGATTAAAGTCTTAAATAGAAGGAGGGATCCAGAAGGCCCAAAAGGGTGGAGGGACCTGCTGGGCCAGATGGTGGGGGAGGGGCTATATTTCAGCCTCTTCCTCTTTTTTCCCCCTCCCCCACCCTCAGGAACCCTCTGTGATGAGGTCACAGCACTGTGATGCTGGCCTGGGCCCTAGAACCAAAGGGAACTCCCAGGGTTCAGTGCGATACAGAAGATGGAGAATCTTCTCTCCCCTCTGAATAGTGTTGGTGCCACGTTGCTGAAACCCAGCTCCACTTCCTGATGGTGGCTACCACCCTTACCTTCCTGGGAGGATTCGGGCTCCTCACTATGTTACTCCCCTGCCTCTAGAATGGTCCATCCTTACCACCTCCTAGGAAAAAGAGAAACATGAGGAAGGTAAGCAATCCTCCACTCAGACTCAACAGACAGTGATTCTCTCTTTTCTTCCTATTACTATCCCTCCCCACTTTTCCAAATCAACTAGAGAGACTCGTGAGATGGGAAATCTCAGGAAAGAATAGAACATCATCCTTCTACGGACAGGCAGAGTGGGATGAGAGAGGGCACTAGGATTTCTGTCTGAAGCTCTCAGACCAGCTGTGTGGCTGAGCTGGAGGGGCCAGAGCTGGGTCAAATGCTGCAACTCGACAGCTGAGGACAGGATTGCTGAGAGAGCTGAGATCTCTGAGGCCCAGAGCACTGGCTCATCAGTGCCTTCCAAGGAAGGTGACTTGGGTCAAGTCTTGCCTCCATGTCAGGCTCATCTGAGGGCTGTGCTGAGCCCCTGACAGCCTCCCACCAGAGGAGGGAGAATCCTACCTGACAACTCAGATGCAGGTCTAGCCTGTGGGTTTCCAGAGCAGAGGCACTGAGGAAGTCCATGGTAGATCTCATGTAGAAAATCCCTCTTTGCATTTTTCTAAGAAGGAAAACAGGAAACATTTTTATCCACTTTCAAAAATGAGTAAAAGGCAAAAAAAGAGAACAGATCATCAACTAAANTGGGGGAGGGGCTATATTTTTATCCACTTTCAAAAATGAGTAAAAGGCAAAAAAAGAGAACAGATCATCAACTAAATGTGGAAAGTCATGTTGTTCATGAACACTGCGTGTCTGCGGCTCATCTAGGGGAGGAGAGTGAGACTTGGGTCCCAGCCTCTAGATCTTTCTTGTCTTCTGGCATCAGATGGAGATGAGGAGGAGGAGCAGGGGCAGGAAGGGTGTAGCTCTGTAAGGTGAGACTCTGCCCCTCCGCCAGAGCCCTGGAGGTAACTTGACCTCACCTGTCCCTGAGTGACGAGGGCCAGGTCTCCGAGGATGTCATTGCAGAGGCTTGAGAGGGAGGCTCTGGGAAGGAGTCCAGAACCTGAGGTACTTCTCAGATTCTGCACTGAAAATGAAGCCACAGCAGGCCAGAGAATGGGTGTTGCCCAGCAGTGGGGATGGGGTTGAGGGGGATGGGCAGTGGACAAATACTGCCACAATCTGGAGGTGGGACCTCGGGCCCAACTGTGGGCATGCTGTTTAACTTCGCTAAGGCTGATGCTTCTTTGGAACGACCCCGTCCTTTCTTCCCCAGAGGGTGGTTGTGAGGACCATGGGGTGCTGGACATGGAAGTACTTTGTAAATGACAAAGTGCTACCCGTCCGTGCTCTTTGTTTTCACTGCCTGGGATCATATGTCCCTGGACACTGATGCTGGGGCTCCAGGGTCTAATTTCCCATGGTCGTCCCTAAAAGGACATTCTGCTCAGCCTTCTGTAGGATCGCCAGTGCCCTCCCTTCACCATAACCCACTCTCCTGATTTCAGCCTGTAGTGATGGTCTGGGGGAACTGGAGGAGGTTCAGTGCCTGGTCGTGCTTCCACAAAGGTAAGGAACTTTCCCCCTCTCTCTCAAGTCTTCCTTCCTCCCAGGGCCTATGACATGATCCCAGGGCCTGGGGCTGACCTTTGAGGGCAGATCACAGAAGGGGAAAGGATGTGACCATAGCCCTGGGACAGGGTGGCAGGAGCTTTGTGAAGTCAGTGTGTGGGCAGTGGAGGGGACACAGGCGTCACCCCTGCCTGGCTCCTGGCCCATCTGCTCCTGGCTGCAGCATCTGGTTCTTGTCTCCTGCAGCCATGGGGGTGATGTGTGTAAACCAGCACCTGCCAGAGCCCACCAGCTGTGTGGGGAGCACGTGGAAGATGCTGCTCCCATCTCCTTGTCCATATCAGCTGCCCCAGCTCCTCTGGCCAAGCATCCTCTTCCTCTGGCCTCCACCCCATTGGCAGAACCTCAAGAAGACCAGTCTGACTTGAAAAGAATCCCACCAGGCATCTCAGGCCTTGCCTGCACTATTTAATCTTTCTCCTGGTGGTGGGAAACTGCCAAGGCCTTGTTCCTCCCACTTCATCACATGGCCAATCCCAGCAAGAACATCTATCCTGCCACCCACCAGAGGCCTCATGGCAGATAGAGGCTGGTAGCCCCTCCTTTATAAACCTCAATGTTCAGAAGCTCCTGGAGATACTAATCACTAGGAATTGATGATATAGAAGGAAAAAGTAAAGGATGGGTCATTTCTGAAACAAATGAGTCCAGACTACCTTCTGAGTTCTCTGTGGAATATGTTAAAGTCACTGGGTGACAAGCAGAACACCCTAACCCCACAGTCCTTCTGGAGCATGAAAGACAAACCAGAGCAGTTGCCCGGTCCTCAGAAGCTCTCTTATCCCAAGGTCTTGGAGGACCATTTACAGCAGAAATGCAGCCTGCTCTCCTGGGGCCTTCCCTCTCTCCACTGCGAGTCCCTGGTGGCTACCACCTGGGTCTTGAAAGCCTTCCTCACAATGATCTCCCTCCATTTTATTCAATGGATTCTCTAATTCTTGTCCAGCTCAAACTCAGGCTCCAGTACCTTCACAGCTTTCCCAGGCCCAGCCATTGCCCCACCGTGTGGCCCAACTCCAACTTTTGTCTCAAAACTGGCCCTCACCTCTGACTTAGATCCAGATGTAGGCCCATCTCCCATCCTCTCTGCCAAACCCATTATGCTGTTCTCCCCCCCTGACTAGGGCCTGTAGAATATTTTGTCCCACATCCCAGAAGCAGTCACCATCTTTCATCCCAACTAAAAATCAGCACCTGGAATGGCCCTCACAGAAGCGAATGAAACAGAGTAAGGCTTTATCCTCTGCGTTCAAAGAATCTCAGGAAGTCTTTAGCCAACCCACTCCCAACCTTCACCAGACCCACAAGTCAGCCTCCATCCTTCCTGGGGATTCAAACAGCCCTGATCTCCAGTAGCAACTGCAGCAGCAAGGCACGTTCATCAAAGATGAATACTTCTACAGCCCTGGGGAACTGACAAGGCCTCAGGGTGAATTCTCACCAATGACATGTCAGTGTCAGGCAAAAATCAAGCATGGGCCCTCCAAGCCTTCAAATTTGCAGGTGAAAGCAGCAAGAGTGCACAGAAGATGGAGTCCAGGAGCTCTGAAAGATTCTGTAGAAAGAGCCCAGTAAGTTCAAATTAAAGAAAGACCCAAGCAAGAATCTAGGGCAAGATCAAGATCATGTCCTAGAAGATCTACCCGAGGATTCAGGAAGCACCTCAGTGAATGTTCTGGAGGTTAAGGAATCATCAGAAAGTGACTTAATGAGGCCCCAGGAGTGTGACCCAAGGGCCCAGACAAGCACCATCTAGAAAAGACCCTGAAAGTCCACTTGGGCCAGAAGTTGGGGGAGATCAATGAGGGCATGATCTCTGGGAGTGCGTGTTGATCCAGGCTTGCTGCCAATCATGCTTTTCCCACGTCTGACATCCACAAACAACCCAAAAATCTAACATCCTCAAAGGGTGAGGTATCCTGTGTGAGCACCACCTGGGAGCCTTTCTCCTTCAGTCCAGACTCTCCACAGGAGCTAGAAACACATATTACAAGGTTTCCAATGAGGAAGAGGTGGAGCCCAGATGTCCAAGCCCCTGAGCCCACAAATCTAAGTCAAGCGAGGCTCAACCCTTGTCCCTTCCGCCGTCCACCTCTTCCTCCTCGGCCACCAGTGAATCTGGGGCTAAATCGATAATCAAGTTTGCCAATTTCACAGGAGAATCTCCTCAGAAATATTCAGGAGAGAAGGTGATACAGAAAAAACATGAGTTGCTATCCTGAACAGTCCTCTCCCTGCCCCTTCACCTGTGTGTCAGGAAGCCTAGAGGTCTTCGCACAAGACAGAGACTCTATCTGGTGACAAGCGTGGGCCTTCAATGCCCTCTCCAACTGAACAGGAGGGCAGGTGGCCTTCTCAGCCCCTCATACACAATGTCATGGGCACAATCTGCACAGTGCAAATGTCCTGGGGGCTGGGAGAGGCAGCCTAGAGCCAAGTCCAAGTCCAGCAACGTCCAGGAATGAGCCACAGGAGGAGAGGGCAAGTGAGGCCTCAGGAGACACCAGCCACAGCGCAGCGACGCCGAGAGCAACATCGGAACCCAGAGTTCAAGGGCCAAACAGACCAGGGAGACAGCAGAGGCCAAGACCCCTGCTTGGGAAGTCACCTTGGGAGCCAGTATGCCTTTTGAAGAATATAATATTGTTTTTACTCATTTATAAACTGTAAATGATATGGATTGTCATTGGATCCGAAAACAGTGTATGGATTCATTTTAGTATCATGAATCCTTTCATCTCTGCCATGCTATATTTTGCTTATGATTTGTTTATGAAGTGAGCACTGATGTTCATGAAGGCCGTTGTTGCATTTCTTGAAATGGAAGATTCCTGGCCTTGCAAGCAGCTATAAAACAGCTAACCAAGATCAACAGAACAAAAGTTATTTACACAAAACTTAATGAACTTGATAAAGAAAAAAATAAAGCCTTAAATATAAGACCTGAAATTATAAAACTACTAAAAGAAAATATAGGGAAAACACTTCAGGATATAGCACTGGGCAAAGACTTTATTAATAAGACCCCAAAAGCACAGGCAACAAAAGAAAAAATAAACAAATGGAATTATATCAAACTAAAAAGCTTCTACACAGCAAAAGAAACAACAGAGTGAAAAGACAACCTACAGAATGGGAGAAAATATTTGCGAATTATGCATCCAACAAGGAATTGACATCCAGAATATACAAAGTTCTCAAACAACTTAACAGTAAAAAGAAAGTAACCTGAGTTAAAAAATGGGCAAAGGAACTAAATAGGCATTTCTCAAAAGAAGATATACAAATGGCCAACAGACACGTGAAAAAATGCCCAACATCACTAAGCATCAGAGATGCAAATGAAAACCACACTGAGATATCATCTTACCCCAGTTATACTGGCCAGTATCAAAAAGACAGAGAATAACAAATGCTGGCGAGGATGCAGAGAAAGGGGAACCCTCCTACACTGTTGGTGGGACTATAAATTGGTGCAGCCATTATGGTAAACATTATGGAGGTTCCTCAGACAACTACAGATAAAGCAACCATATGACCCAGCAATCCCACTGCTGGGTATATACCCAAAGGAATGGAAATCATCATGTGGAAGGGATACCTGCACTCTCATATTTATCGCAGCCCTATTTGCAACAGCCAAGATATGAAACCAACCTAAATGTCCATCGACTGATGACTGGATAAAGAAAATGTGGTATATATACACAATGGAATAGTACTCTGCCATTGAAAAGAATGAAATGCTGCCATTCACAGCAACATGAATGAACTAAGAGAAAATTATGATAAGTGAAATAAGCCAGGCACAGAAAGAGAAATACTGCATGATCTCACTCATAAATGGGAGTTAAAAAGATAAACAAATAAAGAAAGAAAGAAACAACAATCACAATAATTTATTGAACTTTGAAAAGGAGGGAATGGAACTGAGGCATGGGAAAGGGGGAAGAGGGGTTAGTGAGAAACTGGTAAAGGGTCACAAAAAAAGGTTACATTATGTAAAGTTGAATATACTAATTATCCAGATTTGAGCATTACATACTGCACACAGGTATTTATATTCAATGCTGCACCCCACAGATATATACAATTAAGAAGGATATTTCAATTTAAAAAAAGGAAAATATAAAATAAAATATATATATATATGAATCCAGGCAGTCTGGTCCTAGCCTGTTTGTACTCTGAAAAAACAAACTAAGAAGAGTGATATTTATTGAGCACTTACCAGGTTCCAATCACTGGACTAATTAGCTTTGCATGCTTTATCTCATCAAAGCCTAGAAACGACCCTGTGAATTTGGTTTCACTATTATTCTCTTACTACAGATGAGAAAACTGAGGCTTCAAGGGGTCAATATAGGTCATATAGCTAGTAAGTGGCAGAGGTCATATGACTAGTAATAACAGAGTTGGGATTATTTCTGTTTTTACAACAAAGACCATGCCATTTATTTACAAAGGCCAGTGTGGGAGTTGGGAGGGGTTGGGAGGGAAAGCCCCATAGACCCCCTCTCTGGACCACTTGGAACCCATTGCCACTTGGAACAAGCTCTGTTCCTCTTGCATCCATTATCTCAGCCATGGGTCCTCCAAGCAGCTGGGCCAAGTAGCAGAGGGAGCAGGTGATATGAGCCACCGCTATGCACCAGTACAGCAAAGTCCAACTCCAGATCAAAGCTATCAGTGCCACCCTCTCCTCTCCTTCCTCAAATAAAACTTTCTAACCTAGGGGGAAATAATGTAGAACTAAAAGGGCATGGGCCAGGAAGCCAAAGACCAGAGGCTCTGGAGGGAAAGATCCCTCTAGTATACCCCAAAGCAGTGAGGGGTGATGAGGGTGCTGATCCCAGCCCTGCCAGTTTCAGAACAGGTGCCCACACTGCCCTGGAGTGACCCAGCATCCAGATGCCCAAGGGACCTGGCTCCCTGGCTATATGTGTTAGTAACCTAGACTGACCCTTTTACCCACTTCTCGCTGGTGGGAGAGAGCTCTGAACCAAAAAGCAATGAAGACTTCACCTCCACCCCTCACCCAACTTACACACACTTCCCACTCCTGAGACAGATCCCTACCCACTTCATGTCTTTTGAGGAGAGCTCAGATCACTCGTGCCTGGGGACATGGAAATGTGTGTGTGTGTGTGCGCGCACGTGCGCACGCACGCACATGCCCCTTATGGGCCACAGAGACCCCTCCTTCAATTCTAGTTCCATATCTAAGCCTCCTCTGCCAGGCCTGGGCCTGGATTCTCCTGCTCTCAGTGCTACCAATCCCTGTCAATTCCAACACCCAAGCTTTTTACTCAGACCTTCTCCCCTTTTCCTTCTTTGAGAAAATCTCATTCCCTCCTATTCAATATCCACTGGTTTGGCCCAGGGCTTGTTAACTCCTGTCCAGAGGGCTGTGTCTCATCTCCCACTTCAGACGAGGAGGACAGGCATCATCTTCCTCCTCCCCCTGAAGTCCCATCAGAGCCCATGAAAAAGCGCTGGATGAAGTGACCAGAGTAGTGGCTGAGGAGGAAAACCACAGCCTGTTTCACCTGCCTGTCCTTCAGAGTGTGAAATCCTAGTACTGGTTGGGCTGGGGGTGGTAGGAGGTAGAGGAGGGAAAGAAAAAAGTGAGTTATCAGAAGTAAACATGAGACAAGCAAAACGCTGGTGGTACAGGTGGAAGACCCTGTTTCAGTGAACCATGTAGCTGTTTCCTCCTTTGGCTCTGCACTGCTACTGAGCAGACTGCAGCCTGCAAAAGGTGGTAAGGAGCAAGGAGGTGGGCCAGTTGACAAAACTGTGAACATTGTGTAAATGGCTCTGCTCAAGGAGGGTCAGGAGAGAAGATTCTGTAAGAGATGTAGCAGTAAAAACAAAATTCTCAGACAGACCTGTGGGGTTGAGGCCCATGCCTCTAAAGTCACTTTGCTGTTTGGAGAGGACGAGGGAGAAGACAGAAGGGACAGCAAGCTACAGACGGTAGGGGCTGACGGAGGAACCAAATGCTGGCATCGAGGGAGTGGGGAGACAGGAGGCATGGGCCAAGGGATTAGGAGAGCTAGGAGCCCAGGAGTCTCTCAATAGCTGCGCTGCTGTCCCCTCCTGTGGCAAAAAGGGCCTGCAGGTTGGCCTCACCACTGATGAAGCCCATGGAGTTGAGCTGCTCCCATTTCAGTTGCTACTGAAATCTCTCTTCTGGTGTCTGCATCTGTGAGTTTCAACTACCGGCCAAAAGCTGCATCATCTGCTGCATGAGCTGCTGCTGGGCACAGCAAGCCCCTGCTGGAGAAGATGTTGTTGGTGTGGCTGGCGAGGAGGTGGGGCCCTCAAGCACAGACCTGGCCCTGCTGCCTGCCAAGGGGTGCTAGGGTCTGGCATATCCTGAAGGAGCCGAGGTTGGGTACCAGCTAGGAGCCTCAGTCTGCAAGTTTCCAATCTCTGCTACATCTGCAGCAGCATCTACAAGAATTGGTAAGAATTAAGAGGGACTCCAGATTCTGCATGTGCAGCAGGAAGACCCAGAGCTGCAGGCAGAGCTGTTCCTGTAGCTAGCTAGGAGTTCCCTGCAAAGAGCAGCACATTCACCATCATCTGAGCCTCAAAGTTGGGATCCTGGACTGTGCAGGTAGGGAGCTGAGATCAGATTCCTCAGCAGCTGGGGGTTCTCTGATATCTGCTGGAGGAAGGCCTACATTTTGAACATCCCTCATGCCAGGCTAGCTGCACTGATCTCAAAGAAGTTTGAGACTGTTGGGTACACCTGGCTTGTCCCCAGTCCTCCAGTGCCCTCCCCACCAGAGCCAGGAGCCTGGGGGGTGGCACAAGGGACTCCT